ATTAAACGACATAGAATCAGATTGATCTTAAATATTTTAATTTGATTTGTCTACCTCCTTTATTCTGGATAAAGAAATTATCTATCAAATATTTTGGGCGCGACTACTTTTTATAGCTATCCAAGAAACAGTTTCCAAGAAACTATGTTTGATGGACGAGAATGATTTTCGTGTTTGTGCATTGTTGGTGGTGCAAAAAATATTTCGTTCTTTCTTTGTAGCAATAAAAAGACAGGGGCCACAAAATTATTTTACAACCCAGCACAGTGGGTTTTATGCATAAATATTTATTTGAAAGAACGAATGCACTTATGGGTCCCGGTAAAATGTGAAAAAATAAACATGCAAATTAAGCAAAACTTTTCATCCCAAATCATTTATTGATATCTAAATCGTAAGATTCAACAAATTTTACCGCTGAAATTCACGTATATACAAAGAACAAAACCATAGAATGCGGCAGGGGTCAACCGACATTTGTGATTTTCTATAGTAAATCGAGAACGGTCATTCATTTCAAAGCTTTTGTTTACTATGAGCCTAACTTTGTACAAACTTGTGCGAATGACAAAAAACGCATAATACATTTAAAAAACTTGTGTAAAGTGTGAAATTTGTACACGATTAGGCTGGTAGTTAAAATATTAAAAATAAACAAAAAGTACAATGTTTTTCCTATAGCAAGTGAGAGGTATTTACCTGTATGACCCATGTTGAACCCACTTGCGGAATAGATTATTTCAAATACCGATAGTTACGAGAGTACTACCCATGTAAACATTCCTCAAATGTGCTCACTGTAATACATAGGCAGGATTTTTATCATGTAGTCAAAGTCCCGCCGCTTAGAAATATTTCTATGTATCTATATTTAAGATTACGGTAGGGTAAAGAGAGTTTAGCGCCACTCATAAAAGTGTCAGACATTTTTAACATTTATGCAAGACAATGATACAGGTATTGAAAGCCACCCAAACACTCCTTTTAGATTTCAAATTTATTTTATTGTATATATTTTTTTCAAATACAAGAGTACTGATTTCTTAGTTTGATTATTATGGCTTCAGGCAACTACACAACATTCAAATTTTTAAAACAGATATAGCACAAAAAATAACATTCCACAAACGCGCCCTACTATGATCCACCATCAGATTGTTCAAGATCTCTTTGCCTTAATTTACATAAACGAAACTAAAAGAAGGTTCAGTAGACTTTTCCGGATTTTCAGGTTGTCCATATAGGCATTTAAAAATACTCAATTGTTTCAAATCCATGCTGATTTGTGTGATGATTATCGTGCTTTTTAATTAGAAATATACACTAGTATAAAATTATTTCCAAAAGAGAACGATTTGGTTATATGTTCTAAAGTTAAATGGCACATAAAAAGGGCCCATTAAGCATTGCTTAAGTGCACTTGTCCTTTGATCAGTTACTAAAAAAATCTTACGGTTTTACACGTTGACATACTTAGGAAGGAGTAGAAAAGATGTCAGTTGATTAACTGACCTCAGAGATCTTAAAATATTTAGCTAATATTATTGGTTGTTATAAAAACAAAAATAGAAATTTCAACTGCAATACATAATGACGCCCCCTGATAATTATCGAATACAATAGTCAAAACTTCCCGAAGAGCTTCGTATTCTTAGTTTATTTCAAACACGTTAATCTACATTTAGAAAAATGGGTTTTATGTTTATTTTTCTATTTCTAGTTCCTTTGTATATGGTTAACACCGAAGGAAATATTTGTGAAAAGTAAGAACATATTAATTTGATTAGCATTTATTACCTTAAAATATAAAGCTTATTTTTAAATATTTTAACGAGTAAATGAGCTGAAATATATAATCATTTGTTACAGTTTCTTATACATATTTTTACAGCTTGTTATTTTTTGAAGATTGTTGTCAAGAATGGGATTATACTTCTTTTTCTTGTAAAGGTTAGTATATACCTTAGAACAATGGCTTCACGAATTAAAAATACGCAGTAAACTATATTGTTTAATATTCCACGTTTCTTGAATATAATACAGACATTTACATTTTGGAATAATTTCTTTATTAATCTTTAAACATCTTAAATTAACATAGTGAAAAAATTAAACCGAGTTTTATTCGCAGGATAGATAAATAATTACCCGATTTAAAAAAAAAAAAAACATTGAATATATTTTTTTATTAATTGTCCAGACTTCATATTCCTTTCCAAATGTTGTTTTATCTTTACATTTAATTTTTTTCACACTCAGATATGTATTTCAACATTCTATATTTCCACTATTTTGATATTAGTCTGTCATCCCGGATATATTGGAACGAATTGTTCACAGATATGTCCGTACCCTAATTACGGCTCAGAGTGTCAGGGAAGGTGCAATTGTGATGAGCGCCTCTGTGACATTACTGCAGGATGTTACAACGATTCTGGTAAATAGTACTTATCTCCTGACAGAAATAGATGAATCGTGCCAAAAAAATTAATAATCCTTTTAAACCTATTTTATTCCTCCTCGTTTCTATGTAAAATCTCTTGAAAAGCACATGATTTAAAATTCAGAATGATGAGATTCAAACACTTCCTTGAAAATATATATATATATATATATATATATATATATATATATATATATATATATATATATATATATATATATATATATATATATATATATACTATTACTTGATTAAAGTAAAGAGACAATATCTTTTGCAATTGTGTCCTTTCCAATATGTATATCAGTGAGAAAAATCAAATTTACGACCATCATGATGAAAAAAAAATTATTTTTCAAAAATAATATATTTTCTATATGAATCTAACATTTCGTTCTTGTTAATTGTTGACAAGAGGGTTGCAGACAAGGTTATTTTGGTGATCGCTGTGTGCATAGATGTAGATTTCCAAATTATGGGAAATACTGTCAAGAGGTGTGTCAGTGTAAACAGTACGAGTGTGGTCATGTGACTGGATGTAAACATATTCAAGGTAACTCAATTATGAAGTTTTTTCCCAAATCTCAAAGAAATAAATTCTAATTAAAATTACGCAAAAAAATAACATCATTTTTCTTTCAATGTAATATTGAAAGAAAAATGATGTTATTTTTTTGCAGTCACATACAATAACTCTGTAACTCTGTCACAGAGTACGGAGGAGAATTCAACAGAAGTTCCAAAGTCAGTCATTATAATTTCAAGTGCTTTGACTTTTGTCGTCGTATTGACAGTAGCCATGAAATTTGTATTCTGTCAACGTTCAACGTCATCGAGCAAATCGCTGCAGGTGCCTGTACCAGAGTGTAGATATTGTTCGAGCTCGAGACACTATTTTGTTGATAGTCCCAGTCAACGTTACAGTACAATGTATGACACGCCCCGATGTCATCCCGAGCCCGACCAATTTTCCTCGAATCAACAACGGGAGAGTTCATGCACCAAAATATATCCTTTGTCATCTGGCTACTATGAGCCTGTTGACGCTTACACGCAACTGCAGAAAGTAAATGGAGATGAGTGTACTAAGTAAAAAATAATCCCTGATAGCTGAATGTTAAAACGCGATAAAAGATTTTTCAGCTACCCGATAACCGCGATAACTCTTTACAAAAATCCACGATTTGTTCTGAAACAATATACTGAAACGAACAAGAACAATGACATCCCATTAGGAGGACTTTTAATATTGGATATAATGTTTTGATAACAATGTAAGGATATCTTCAATTAGCCGATTTAACGGTAGAATGATTTTCAAATCATTAACAAAGTCCGAGTCCGCTTTACAGGTATCAAAAAATGCATAAGTAACAAAACAAAACCAATATCACAGAGTTTGACATGTTTATATCTGTTAATCATAGGTAATGCAATAAATAAATGCAACAATCGAAAAATAAATTCTCGTTTCGTTTCCTGAAGCTTCTTAAAATTAAGTTATGTACGCATTTCAAATGCTCTAGCGGGAAAATCTCAAATGAAGGTGATACACATTGGTAGCTGCAGATGCAAAAATTACTACATCATGTCTTAACAGACTCTTATGCATCATTTTCATAAATTACAGTCCGTGGTCAGGAAGTCCACATTCTACTATACTGTGCAAGTTTAGGGACAATTCGTCCTATTCAATTCCCAGACAGGCAGTTGATGTGGATAAGTATATGTCTTTCCCTCATATCGCGAGATTAATGATTCTATTGCATCGTAGAAATCAAGCTGCAAATGTTGTCTATTGCATACTTACAAGCTAAAATTGAATGACTGGGGTGTTTTAAAATCATGTGTTACAATTGTACGTTTTAAAGTAAAAGATAATCATTTAACTTTTTCATCATTCATTCGATGTTTTTAATTGTATTTAACCTTATTGTATTCATCATTGAAAATCATTTGATAAAGAAATTTCAAATATTTGTAGATTACAGCTTGTTGCGTTTTTTTCCGTTTTAATATATGATTGAAGTAAGTCATAAACACATATTGTCGTTAGTTTCATACAAGACTCTATTAGACTTTTTGAGTGGAACATTCTCAAACGTCGCGAAACGGCCATTTGAACCATATATATACATAAAGTATTTCAAAATGCATTATAAAATGCAGTATTCTTTCTAATGGACTTGTTTTTAAGAGACAAAAGTTATCCCTGTAATAAATCAATAATACAGGTTTCTAAAATTAACCCTTTTACATGTAGCTTGTTCTTTCCACCTTTCTGTGGATAGACCTAATGAACTTGTTCTACTTATTATTGTTTTTCTCAGCGGAGTTTTAGGTTTTCAAAATTTATCGAAAAGATTTATAGTTTATAAGAATGAACTTGATACATTTGTCACAATGCAATCGCCCGATTTTGTTAATTAATTGTAAACGATCGAGAGAGAGAGAGAGTGATCGATAGAATGCAGGTTCGCAGCGCAGGCGTTGTAGCCCTGTATCCCAGGAATGTAATTTGAGTTAGTTAGAAATGAAGAGAGTGAGCAAGCGAGGATTTGTAATGTGTTTATTTGTAATTTCTGTTATCGTTGTTTATTGTGCGTGATAGATTTTAAGAGATGAAAGTGAGCATTAAGTTGATTTGTGTGAGAAACTGATGAAAAAGAAATTTGGGATGGGCATGCCCTGGGAACATGAGAGGAAGAACAAGTCTGAAAGTAAACGAGTGTGGACGTGTCTTTTTATTGTGAATATTTCGCTTTCTTATACATATATATTGTGTTGTAAATATGTGAATAAACGATGTAAATAAAAACAATCGTCATAATTAACCAGTACCAGTGACAGAGAGGACCTCCGACACACATTGACAGTAGACCCCGTGTATACTGTATGATGCAAAATGACATAGTAACCCCTTTTATGAGTTATGAGTTATGAGGTTCTGAAAACCCCTTATATGAGAATTCTTTGCGCGTATTATTAAACTGTTTACCTTAAATAAATCAGCCATAGAAACATGGAACCAATTGCAATGTGACTCTTCACCTTTGATTATTCAAGAAATTTTGTAGAAACAGGGCATCCTTTTCTTTTAATTTTTCTGCATTTAAACCTGAAAAACAGTGATAAAAGAAAAATTGTATTTGGCCCTTGTACTACAATAACCTTGTTGCGTTGGAGCAGTTGTCAATTCAAGTCAATTTAGATGATAGTAAAAGAGATGTTGTTTAAAGGTTGTCGTTCTTTGTTTAAGTTTTGTACCATTACATATAGATACAACTCAAAGCACTGTGTCAAAAACATTCCCTATCTCTATCTTTATTTATCTAACAAGCAACACTGCTGATCAATTTTTACATCCATATTTTTTTGCACCTAAACTGTGGTATTCATATGTTCCAAGATTTTATTAGATCAGAAAATGATATCTTATCTCTGACGTTTTGAAGTTTTCACGAAAAAGGTAATTATAACTACTCTGTCAACATAGATTGTCAAAATAAAATGTCGAATTACAGATTTATTTATAGACTGTTTGTTAACAAAAACATTGTAGAAATTCAACGAAAAGGAGAAATAGTTGAATTTCCGGAAAGTTCTATTTTTAGTTACGATGGAAAAATCATTTGTTAAAATTAGATAATCCAGAAGATTGCGATGTGATAGTCTATTACACCTCTTGTTGTTCAAAAAGGGTTATACGAAGACCGTCCAAAAATTACGCGGACATGTTGCAAAGAAAAAAATATTTAATGACATAATCAGCCAAAATGTCACACATAATATAAAAGAATCTTTACTTACTGTATATGGTCTTCATAATTTCATGTCAAAGTGTTGTAAATTGATATCAATTTTGAGTTATTTTTCAGGACATATCATTAAGTCACGGAGCAGCAAAAATCGTCGACGTCACACGCATTATAAAAAACTAATTGGTATTGAGCTTTCATTTTCTCAACATTTTCCCAGGAGTACCTGTACAGTTTGAGTTACCTTATCTACTCAGCATCCAAATACCATTTCTTGTCAAGCATAAAATCTATCTAACAAGTAAAGAATATTCTTTTTTGTTGTTGTTTAATCAAAAACTGCATTATGAAATATATTGTGATATTGGTAACTCTCCATCAAGTTCACATTCCGAATAAAGTTTTCGTCGATTATCTTCTTCCCGTCCTCCCGTATAGCCTTTTTACGGAGGTATAACGGTCTAAAATTTTAATTTGATTTTTTTAGACGAATGTCACGAATGCAATTTACTAAATATTTTATTATGCATAATTTGAGTCTTTGTTGGCAATATCTCGAGCATTACACATAATTTAACGACATTGTGATGCGGCGTCAATTCAGGAGACGTCATTTTCACAGTCGTTTTTACGGGAATCGCAGCAGAGAAAAATCACTACGAGGGTTGTTCGAAAAGTTCGTGGACGATGTCCATCTTCGTTACATTACTCAATGGAAATTTAAAACAAGCACATTATAATATATAAAATATTTGTTTTGTTGATGTGTGAAGTTTCCTTCCATCGATTTAACACAAATAAATTTACTTCATTTTAAAATCAACATGTTTTGTACCCGCGGAGCACACAAAACGGCAATTATAATAGATAGTATACCTATACATTTCACACAGAATATTCCAATGCCCTTACATTAAATCGATCTTTTTCTAAGTTTATTCAGGATTTTTCCTGAGAAAAACACAAAATTGCTTCGGTATTTGCTGCTCTCCGTGACGTTCTAAAACGCCATCGTTTTTGTTGTTTTCAATAAGGACTGCCTATCTTCTCAAGTTTACTTCTTTTCAACAAAGCAAAATATAAAACCATAATTTGGTACACGTATCGATGTAACAATTCTTAATTTGAATCTCTTGGTAGTTTTTCGTTTTTCTTCCATTTTCAGAATATTGCTATGACACTATTTATTGTATTGTCTGTAACTTCCTAAATTTTGACCTGCTCCGCGATGCGATTTTGCATTTTAAAACTTGGATAAGTTAT